GAGAATCAGAATAACAAGAGTTTTTCAGTGTTCCTGTCTCTTCTTCCCTGGTACTAAGATTACAGGTACTAACTGCTGCCCTCGGCTTTTTTCACATGAGTGCTGGGGACCCGAATTCAGGTCCTCGAGCTGACATAGCAAGCACATTACCAAATGAGCCATATGCCCAGTAGGCTTTTTCCATTTAATTACATTTAAATGTTTCTATAGTAAATCACGTTACTTCTGTACATAAAAAAGTATTTAAAGATTATAAAACTAGGGCTGACCAGGCCAAGTAGCATTGAAATGCGGTTCCTTCAGCAAACGTACACCTAAACAGGAAACATGAGCCTGTAGCTACTAACCAACATTCAGGTCAGCAGTCAATCTCTCCATGACTCCCTATGGTACACGATTTCTGCGGCCAGGCGTGAAGTACGAAGGCTGTGATTTAAAGCAAGAGCTTGGTGGAGTTCTGCCTGGGCCTTGTGATACAGCAGTCAGCCCTGCCCTCTACTGGTAACGGTGATGAGTAAAACATACCTGAATATGTGGGCTCTTCTTTATCAACAGCAAACCCCACCTCCCTCCCCACAACCCCAGCATGGTTTTAAAAGTGTCTCACTACTTGGACTGGCCTCTGCCTCCTGAGTGCTGGGATTAGAGACATGTGCCATGCCTGATACTAAAGCATTTCCTAAAATATGGCATAAGGGACCTTTGTGGCCAAGACGTCTGCAAGGACAAAAGAATTCCACAATAACTGTATAGTTTGTTTCTATTGTTGTGATCAACACCTGACCAAAAGCAACCTGGGGAGGAAGGGGTTTCTTTGGCTTACAGGTTAAAGTCCATCATCTAGGGATGCCAAGGCAAGAACTCGGGACAAGACTTGAAGCAAAAGCCACAGAGATATGCTGCTTACTGGCTTGCTCCCCACGGCTCACGTTGCTTTTTATACAACCATGGACCACCTGCCCAGGAGTAGCACCGCCCACAGTGTGACCTCCCATACCAATCATTAATGAAGAAAATGCACCACAGACAAGCCTACAGGTCAATCTAATGGAGGCATTTTCTCATTGAGGTTCCCTTTTAGCTTGTATCAAGTTGGAGGGAGGGAGAGAGGGAGAGAGGGAGACAGACAGACAGATGAAAACTGACTAGTACAGAAACATTGAGACAGGGTGCTAAGTTTCATCTCCAGCATCACACACAAAAAGAGGTTTAAACATGTAAAATAATGCTGCTCCTCCTCAGTTATTTCTCCTTTAACAAGTTGTTACAAGGTAGACTACAGATGTACATCTGTTGCTGTAGCACTTGGAAGGATGAGACAGAAAGATTGCTTCAAGTCGAGGCCAGCCTGGTCTACACAGTAAATTCTAGGATAGCTTTAGGAAAAGAATAAGACCTGCCCCATCTACCCCCAAAATCTACCCTCAACAAAATATAAATAAATAAATAAAAAGAGGCAGGTGAGTAGCACAGCACTGTAATCTGAGAATTTTTGGGGGGCAGAAGCAGGCAAATCCCCAAAGTCTGAGGCCAACATGTTCTACACAGCAGGTGCCAAGGGCACAAAGCTAGACCCTGTCACAAATGCACACATACACATGTATGCCCAGAACCAAAACCAAACAAAATAAAAAGTCAGCTTGGGATTTAAAAAAAAAAAAAGCCAGGCAGTGACAGGGTTTCTCTGTAGCTTTTGGAGCCTGTCCTGGAACTAGCTCTTGTAGACCAGACTGGCCTCGAACTTACAGAGATCCACCTGCCTCTTTTTTTCTTTTAATATGGGAGTTGGAGGGACAGTTGTTGGTTAAGACCACTGACTGCTCTTGAGAGAACTGAGGTTCAGGTCCCAGTACCTACGTGACAGTTCACAACTGCCTGTAACTCCAGTCCCAGGTGATCTGACCCCAGGGCCTCTGCGGGCTTCTGCACGCATATGGCGCACATGAAAACACTCACAGAAATAGGTACACACACATATTCATAGGACTAATAAAATAATAACATCTATATTTTGTCATTACTCTTTTTGTTTCGTTGTTTCTTTTCAAGACAGGATTTCTCTGTGTAGCCCTGGCTGTCCTAGAACTCACTCTGTAGACCAGGAGGGACTCAAACCCACAGAGATTCTTCTTCCTCTGCCTCCAGAGTGCTGGGACACCACTGCCCAGCTGCCATAGACTCTTAACTGAGGCAATATAGTATATTCATCATGCTTTCAGTGAAAGAAACTGCACTTACTCATTTTACTCTGAGCAATTCCCAATGCACCTAAGTCTTCCTCTGCAAAAACGAACGCAAGTACTTACTATGTCAAGAGACTAAAGGAGATACACATATACGGAACACTGTGGGGGCTGCCACTGAGTAGACGTTCATCTGTGACTACCTTCTTTTCACTTCCCTCTAGTCCAGTGTAACGTTTGGGATCGCCTTTTGAAGTGGAGAGCATGCACCTGACATGTGCCTTTACCTCCCTGCCCATACATACTGTTTTTGTAAATAGGATCTTATTTCTTTCCCGCTTCCCTACATTTCCAGATAGCCTCAGAAGCTCTATTCTGAATAATTTGCCTTAGTCAGAGAAGGAGATTGGGCAGAACTGAGTTCTAGGTCCATGGTCGGCCACGTGATTTGGGGCGTGATGTCCAGGACAGCCATAACTAAAGGGTGATACCATGTCTAAAAGGAAGAAAACCAAACCAAACAAAAAAGGAGAATGGTGATGCCTGTCTAGCCCCAGCACTTGAGAGGCAGAGGCAGTCAAACCACCACAAACTGGGACTCGACAAGAAAGAGTAGCGCAAGGTTTCACCATTCCCTAGGTGCCCTCAGATTCTAAATTGGGAAGGGTCAACTCAACACAAAAGATTAGAAAATGTCACTGTACATCCCTGATACCAGAATGGAAACCCCTAAACATCTTCCTCAAACTCAGCCAAAACGCCCCTGCTCCGCATCTCCGGGTCACTAGGCATTTTGCACAAATCTCGAGCGTGCCCGGAGCCCTCTGGCGGCTGAGACCTCACATTACACCTGTGTGAAGGTGTCGCCACCGTCCCTGCTTCAGAGCAGGACCAACAACGAGGCACCCAATGGACCTCGGCGGGTATCAGCATTCAGCAGATCGCGGGCCCTCCGGAGCTTTGGTTTGCTGAAGTTTTAAGTGAGGCTGGACAGGGCCAAAACGGCCCCGGGAGTGGGACGGAGAACCCGGGAGGGCCTGAGGGGAGCATGCTGTGGCAGCCAGGACAAGTCTAGGAGACCCGCAGCCCCGCGAGCCTCAGGGCCAGCCTCGTGCTAAGATTCGTCCTCTCACCTCCCGGGCTCAGCAGCAGCTTCAGCGCTTCCAGAATCGGCTCCAGACCACATGTCTCCAGAAGTCTGCTCGGCGCAGCCGCCGCAGGTTGCGGAGCCGCCATGATTGGAGCGGAGCTCAGCTCCTGAGATGCGCCCTGACGCATTACTGGACCAGCGCGACCGCCATGTTGAGTGTGGCGGGAGGTGTGCCCGAGGT